TTTGTTTTCTTGACATTGAGGTGCAATCCATACTGATCTTCACCAGTAAATATTTTAAGTCCTCTTGACTTCCAGCAAGTAAGGTTGTATCATCTGCATATCACAGGTTATTAATGAGTCTTCCTCCAATCCTGACGCCACGTTCTTCATATAATCCAGTTTCTCAGATTATTTGCTCAGCATTCACATTAAAGAAGTATGGTGAAAAAATACAACTCTGGCAAGATTAGGTAATGGAGAATAAGAACTGGTCAATGGTTCAAACCCACCAGCTACTCATTGGAAACCCTATACAGAGTCACTGTGAGTCAGAACCAACTCGGTGGGACTTAGCAACTACAACATATAAAATACATAAATACTTTTGAGCATAAATAGTATTATACCATAATAAAATTACATTCTTTTTTTAAAAAAAAAGTTGTATTGTGAATTATGTGATACTTTACATGGGGATATTAGTTTTAGATTCATCCTATTGTATATCATTTCATTGCCATGGTTACAATCCCCTCCATGCATCATCAACCAACCAAAGGGTATACACTGCAAGCCTGCCCCCGGTCGTCAGCACACAGCCTCTCTCCCTCTATATTCCTTTTTATACCATCATTTTTGATTGCCCTAATATTTCTTGCTTTTAAAGAATTCCAGTAATAGAGAACGTGGAGGGTTGGCTGGGTCTGCTGTTCTCCATCATTCTGTGTGTAGTTGCTCCCCTTTCTTCAACCCCACTGGGATTATGTCTTCATTTCACTAAATTTGTCAGAGTGCACAGTGGTGACTGGGTGCTGTGCAGTTTTGTCTGGCTGAAATTCCAGGCTGAGTGTGTTCTCCTCTGGTGGCCTCGTAGTGGAGCAGCCGGCAGGTGACCTTCTCCCGGGTGTCGGGGGCCGTGATCCTAGCAGGCAGAGTCTGCCCCATCCATGTTTGATTTGTGTTGTATCTGAGGAGGTCCAGGTACTCTGTTTTTCTCCATGGGCTGGGGCAGGATTTCCTTTCTCCAGTGGCTGATCTGCCTCAGCAGACAATTGAGAAAAAAGATTTCCAAGGAGAATGCTATAGAATACCATATGCTCATTTTCTTGATTTTTGCTTTTTCCTTGATGGTAATTTGTGATCTCCAGACTGGTGTGGCATTGTGGGTTAATGCGCCAGACTGCAAAGCCATGTGAACTTCAAGGTCAGCAGTTCAAGCTCACCAGGTGCTCCTTGGAAACCCTATACAGGGTCTCTATGAACCAGAACCGACTTCACGGCACTTACCAACCACAAGATCATCTTAGAACAGCTCTGTACGTGTCACAGTAGGTGTTGTGGTTGTGTGCCATGGAATCCGTTCTGAGTCACAGTGTATAAGGTTTCCAAGAGTGGCTGTTGGACTTGAACTGCTGAACTAGTTGTTAGCAGTCCAGTGCTGCTTGTTCAGTGCCACACCAGGGTTCACGGGCGACCTCATGTGCTGTGAAGTTTGTCCCACGTTTTTACTCTCTCTGGTAATTGAGGAGGGCAAGATGACCTCTTTCCCTGCAGTGCGCTTCTTCCCATGGATTATAACACGGAGGTGGCTCTTTCCAGAGGACGACTGGCCCCTTTCTTGCTCACCTGTGTGGTCCTTGGCACTTGGTGACGTTGGTGTGGAATGACTCCTTGTGCTCAGTCTTCCCACGGCTGTGTCCTAAAGGTAGTGCTGGGCCGGGGGGAGCTGTAGCTGAGGTGGTGGAGGTGGGAGATGTGGAGGAGCAGGTGGGGAATGTCATCTCCCTCCTTCCAAGGCCTTTGGGCCCCAAATGTAACCAGCAGAGGCAGAGGCTGGGAGTGAACACAGAATACGGGCTGTGTCTAGAAACCTACCCCCAGTGCAAGGTGCACCTTAAGGTCTGGGGGGTGCGGGGAGAGAGAGCGGGCAGCCTGTGACTTCTGACTGTCATCTAAGCTGGGAGAAGACCAGATGGGGTGAGATACCTGAGGCTTACAGAACCCAGGCTGGGTGCCAGGGACACTTCAGCCATCTTCTTGTGTTTGAGTCAGGGCGAAGTCCTGGGGCCCCATGTCCTGAGGGAGGAAAATATATTCACACACTTGGGGGGCCCCAGGGCTACACCAGGCTTTTAAAAAACCTCTGGGCCCACCTGGCACCTGTCCCTAGACTTCCTCTTGAGGCTGGCTCAGGTGTGAAGCAGATAGCAGGGATGTGCATGCTCCCTTCATTACCTCTAAGAAACCAAATGCTGCGGGGAAGCAGGGCCACTCCCAGGCAAGAGTGAGGACAGAGTACGGTCCTCAGGTGTTACTGGGCTCAGAGGCGTGGGAGTGGGCTGGAGATGTGGCTCAGGACCCAACCTAGCAAAGGTCCAGGTGTAGGCACCACGGGGCTCCAGGCATGTTGGTGCCATGAGGAGCTGAACAGGCTGGATTCGGTCAAGACAGTCCTGGAGGGAGTGGAGGAGAGGGGACAGGGGGTGGTGGTAAGATTGGTCCCCAAAGGAGAAAACATTTGGGTCCCCAGCGTTTCCATCTTCTTCTCCCGGCAACATAGAGAGTCCTTTAAAAAGTCCCTCCCGTCTCTGCTGAACTTAGGGTAGGGGGTTCTGTGCGCCAAGGGGCTGTGGGCTGGCACCTTGGGCCTCAGAACATGAGGCTTCCACCACTTGTGCTCACTGACGTGTCCTCCTAGTCAGGACACCACGCAACAGGCCCGCCTGCAGGGTCTAGGCCTCTGCCTCCCTCCTCCGTCCCCCAGTGGAATCAGCTGCTCCGGTTTCTGGTAACTTCATCAGGCTGCATCACGTTGCTTGGAGCTGAGATAGCATCTCCCCATGGTAAGCCTTCCCTGCAGAGCGCCCCCCGCCCCGCCCCTGGGGTGGGGTGAGTTTGGAGTGTGAGGGTCTTGGGGGGCAGGGCAGCTTGCTGGGAGGCTGGCACAGGGACCAGGAATGAGCCAGCCACCTGCTGCTGAGGACCAAAGACAAAAGGAGAGAGACAGGGAGCTGAGGGAACTGGGAGAGGCCACTAGCCCCTGCAGGCTGTGAGGATCACTGAGCCCTGCCCACCCCTTCAAGACCAGGAGAGCGACGTCCAGAGTGCCACAGCCCACGTTACCAGTGGGCAGCCCACAGAGGGGACTGCCCTGTCTACTCAGGCCCTCCCTTGGGTCTTATTCCAGCACTATGGCCCTGGGTGCTTTGGAACAAGACGCTGCCCGCTGGGGCTGGGACATGGATGGGGACGAGGACTGGGACAATGTTGTGTTGACCCTGCTGGCGTTGGCTGTGGTGGCTGCCACGGCGCTGGCCTTGCACTGGTTCGGCTCTGAGCAGGACCAGGAGGTGATGGGCCCAGGCTCTGCAGCCCCCCAGGCCCAGCCTCCTCAGGCAGGAGGGTCTGAGCCAGCCCCTCACCCAAAGGTCAAGGCCAGTGAAGGCATTGAGGGACCAGGGCCGGGGGAATCAGCCCCTTCAGGATGCAGCCAAGGGGGTCCTGTTATGCCCCAGACGCATGGAGAGATGGCCAGCAGCACAGTCCATGGCCAGCAGCAGGGAGATGGTGACTCAGAAGGTTCTGAAGGCACCAGAACGCGGCCTCCTGGATCAGCCACTGCCCCCATGGGAAGGAGCAAAGCAGCGGGGACGTCTGGCCCCATCTTGATCCACTTCACACCTCGGGATCTTGGCAGAGAAGCAGAGGGGGCTGTGGGGGCTATGTGCCCCAAGAAGCCAGCACTCCAGGCCCCCAGCCTTGAAGCTGTACAGGACAGCAGCCCCTGGCAGCCAGGGTTGAGACCACCTCATCCACGGAGGAGACGCGAGAGCAGCCGGAGGCGGCAGGTAGACACCAGCTCTCCCCGGCCAGACTCCCTGCGACTGGGTGCTGTGGTGAGTGTGTGGGATGCTGTGGATGCGGCGGCTGCAGCGGCTGCTACTGTGAACACCCCCATCTGCAAGCTCCTGGCAGGCTACCAGTTGTCCCCTTCCCCTCTGGGACCTGCTCCTGGATCACTCACCATGCAGGCTGGGCCCCTGACCCACGGCTTACAGAAGGGTTATGGGAAGAGCAGCCCCCAACCAGTTCCAGTCCTGGCTCTGGGCTCAGGGGCTGTGGCAGGTGGGAGTGCGGAGACCTTGGGGGACCCAGGCAGTGCTCCCAGCGAGGAAGGCTGGCCTTGGGCAAAGAAGGAGGTCCTAATCACCAGAAGTTTCAGCGGGCCTCCACCACCAGGGCCACATGAAGGGTACCCTCCTCACTTGCCCCAAAGGCAGAATAGCTTGGAGGCCTGCAACTTGGCCAAGACTGGGGTGAGTGAGTCATTCCTGAGGCCAGGGTCGGGCAGGGCAGAAAAGCAAAGGGGCCACAGAGCTGGAGAAGGGACAGGGTCCTGGCAGGTCCAGGGGGCGCAGAGCCTTGGGCAGGCAGGCAGTAGCCAGGCTGCTGACCTGAGGCCTGGGCAGCCTCTGGACAGAGGGACGTCAACCCCAGATGGCTCGAGAGGTGGACCCCGCTGCATTCGCTCCCCAAGTCCCTCAGCCAGCCCTCCCACATGTGCTCCTCCTGAGCATATCCCCTCTACCTCTGGGCCCTCTACTCATTCCTGTGGGAGTCACCCACGTGCAGCAACCCCTCTTCCGTCCTCCTCGCCTCCTTCAGATGTGGCTCCCCATAGAGTTAGTCTAGGTCCTTCTGAGGATGAATATGTCAGCACTGCCTTCACCTCAACTGCGATGGCAGTTCCAGCCTCGATGCCAGCCCCAACACCAGCCCCAGACCAAAGGCCAGCTCCAATGGCAGTCTCAACTTCAGCCCCAACTCCAACCTCTGCACCCACCACAGTTCCATTCCCAACTGCAACCTTACCTCCAACGGCAGCCCCAGCCCCAATTCCAGTGGGAGCCCCAGCCCCAGCCAGTCCTGCACAAAGCCCTGGCCCTCCGGAGCCCGGGAGGACTCTGTCCAAGGGTTGCCAGGAGACGCAGGTCTCAGACAGCTGGGGAAACCTCATTGCCATGGTTCTTAGAAGTCATCCCTTCCCCAGGCAAGCGGGGCCCCAAGGGAGAGTCCCGAGGGAGTTATTAGGCCCTCCTTATGAAGGCGCAGTCCCCAGCCTTGAGGAAAAGCGCGGGTCGACGGCTGGCCCGGCTGTACTGGCGGGAACACGCGGTCTGGTGGAGCCCCCCAGCCAGCCTCAGCCGGGAGGCCCCCAGACCGACAGCGCTCCCACCGCGCTGGGCCCAGGTGAAGCCAGGGTGGAGGAAGAAGGCCCCAGTTCGCCTCCTCCTCCTCCTCCTCCTCCTCCTCCTCGCACCGCAGAGGCCCGGCCAATCCCCCGGCCCAGGAAGCGCAGCTTGTGCGAGGTGGCCGAGAGCTCAGAGCCGGAGATGGACTCGGCCGCCCTCCGGCAGCGCCAGGAAGGGGCGCGAGGGCAGAAGGCCAGGCCCGCTGGCCACAGGGGCACCCTCACTGAGAAGCAGAAGGAGGCTCGCAAACTCCTAGTCTTTCTGCAGCGGCCCGGGGGCTGGGGCGTGGCGGAGGGACGGCGAAAGCCCAGCGCCCCAGCCCCGGAGCTGCCGGCGGCGGTGGCGGCGCTGCGGCGGCGGCTGGACCTGGGCAGCTGCCTGGAGGTGCTGACCTTCGCCCAGCAGCATGGGGCGCGCGATCTGGCTCAGGACACGTACGCGGTGATGAGCGACAACCTGTTGCACGTGCTCGGGGACCCGCACCTGTACCGGCAGCTGGGCTTCGCCGACCGCGAACGCATCCTGAGTCTGCGGACGGGTCGCGGCCAGGCAATGCTAGGGGTCCTGACGTTGCCCAGTCTCTACCACGTCAGTCGACCTGGGCTCCCTGGCGCCCGGAGAGGCGAGGAGAGAGACGAGGAGGCCCGGCCCGCAGGCCCGACCCACTTGCATGTGTTTAACCCTCAAGCGAACTCGTGGCGGCCACTGACGCAAGTGCCTTCGGAGGTCCCTCTGCGGGGCTGCGGCTTGTGCACCATGTACAACTACCTGTTCCTAGCCGGGGGCATCCGCGGCTCCGGGGCTCGGGCCGTCTGCTCTAACGAGGTCTTTTGCTACAATCCTCTGACCGACATCTGGAGCCAGATGCGACCCATGCAGCAGGCTCGAGCTCAGCTCAAGCTGGTGGCCTTGGACGGGCTGCTCTACGCCATCGGGGGCGAGTGCCTCTACAGCATGGAACGCTACGACCCCCGCACGGACTCCTGGACCTCGCGAGCGCCCCTCCCTGCAGGCACCTTCCCTGTGGCACATGAGGCGGTGGCCTGCCGTGGGGACATTTACGTCACAGGGGGCCATCTCTTCTACCGCCTGCTCAGGTACAGCCCCGCCAAGGATGCGTGGGCCGAGTGCCCATACAGTGCTGGCCACCGCCGTTCCAGCGACATGGTGGCGTTCGGCGGTTTCCTCTACCGCTTTGATCTCCTGAGGGGCGTGGGCGCCGCCGTGATGCGCTACAACACCGTGACCGGCTCGTGGAGCCGCGCCGCCTCCCTGCCTCTGCCGGAGCCCGTACCCCTGCGCTGTGCGGTACTGGGCAGCACCATCTACTGCCTCAACCACCAGGTCACCGCCACCTTCACCGTCTCTGATGCCACAGCGCAGTTTGAGGCCAAGGAGCTGCAGCCCTGTCCCGTGGGGAGTAAGGGGGTCCTCTGCCCGTTCGTTCTGACCCTGCCCACCGCAGACCCGCTGCAAACAGAGCTCTGAGCCCTCGCCGGAAGAAGCGACTGTGGCTGCTGCTCTGTGGAACCTCTGGGACAAGGGACTGAAAGACGGGACTGGGATCCAGAACTTTCTGCTCTTGCCCTGCTCTAATAAACCTCATGCTTAGAGTTCCCATGGTTCTTGGAGAGAGGGTGTGTCTCCACCCCGCCTGCCCTATACTGGGTGCGGCACATGTTTGAGGGAGTCCCCCCTTTCCCTTCCCATACTTGCTCTTGGCTTCCCCCTGCCAACACTGTCTCTGTGACTCTGCCCCCTCATAATCTGCCCAAGTCTCTGCCTGGCTAAAAATTCCCGCTTGGCTCAAACGTCAGCCCCCTCCTCTATGCACTGTTCTCTGGGTTCCCTGGGAGAGGTCAGAGCTGACCCCAAGAATGATGCTGGCTGGACTGGACTGCTCTGTCCTCAGGGCACCAAGTAGCAAAGAGGTATGAGGGGGACAGGAGAAGAAAGCCCCTCTCTGTCTGCCTTCTGCCCTTTGAGCCCTAGAGACCAGCTGTATCCACCCTTCAGCTCTTTGTTCTGGCCCTGTGCTCTCTATCTCTCCCTGCTCTCTCGGCCCTGCCTGCACCTTTGGAGGACTCTCCCTCACCTCCAACTCCTCTACAGGAGACCTTGTGATAGAAACCTCAAAGGTTGATTTGATCTCGTGACTGCTCTTCCCTGTCCTGTCTCTACGGTGAGCCCAACTCTCAGGGAGGTGAACAAACCACACTGAGCAGCGTCTGTCTGGGCCCCTTTGTTTTCACTCTGTGCTCAGTCCCACAGGCATTGAAGAGCCTTCACCTGCTCACTGACACTGCGTATGTACACTCTGCTCACAAGGACGGCTGTGTAGCAGGCAGACAGTGTGGAGGAAAGGGGTCCTCAACTGGTGCTGGAAAAGAACTTTATTGAGAACAGTGCTGGGCACAGATCTGTGCTCATGGTTGTGGCTCTCTCCCCAGCGGGGCCCCTCCATGGCTGGTCGCTGGGGTGCATGGTTCTTAATGCTTCTTCTTGGTCTCTCTGAGCAGTTCCCGCCAGTTCTTCTCCATCTCCTCCTTGCAGTTGAGGAAGGCGTCCTCCAGCCGCCGCATGGACTCAGCCAGCGTGGGGTTGGTGCGTATCACCACCATGTCGTAGGCCATCCAGGTCGCCTGCACTGTGACAGTGATGAGATTGGTCAGAGTCAAGGGACACTGGGCACCTGACAGGCCCGCAGAGACCCCATGTTCTTCTTTATCAGCAGTATAGCAGACACTGAGGGGAAGGAGCCAGTGGGCTGCAGGTCAGAGGGAAGCTACATACACGGCACCCTACACAGAGCAGCTGGGGACTAAGTAAGACATATATCCACTAAGAGGTGAGAGGCCAGTCCAATGTGAGATGGAGAAAATGAGAGAATGCTACCTTCAGTACACAGCCAGCAGTCACAGGGCACACCAGAGAATGCGACAGCCCCTCAGGCACGCACTCAGGCACATCCGACCCCACTCGGACAGGTCTGACCACGCTGACACTGGCCAACCACTCAGTCTTACCAAACTCCAAGCTTCAAGTGACTACATGTTCAATGACTGGTGGCTTGCCTACCTCTACCTGGGCACCTCTGTGCTTTCATTAAGTGCATAGGCACCTCCTTGTGGGAAGCTTTTGGTGTGGACATCAGATGTCCTTTGGCTATCCCCACTGAGCGTGAACCCTGGTACTCACCACCATGCTGCTTTGTTTACTCACCTGTCTGTCCCTCCATGAGATTCCCAAGGATCATGACCCTGGGTCAGTACAGGGTCAGCCCCAGAAAACATGTGCTTCTTGTAGGAGTAAGATGGCGTGCAGCAGCCCATGCCCACCTCATCTCTGCAGCACCCACTCTGCTGGTCTGCTCTGTTTGCTAAAACTACACAGGACAAAGTGAGCTCCCCTTCAGACATGTGACACCAGGATACCTGTGCCCCGTGAAACGCCTTTTTGCTGGACTAAGAAGAGCTGATCCTTTGAAGAGGATCCTCTAGGAACTTAACCAAGGACTGAACTGGTCAATAATGAGAGCAAACATGTATCCAACGCAGCCAGGTCAGCAGTCTAGATGTGTTACAGAGAAGAACATCTGACTGGCTTAGGAAAGAATTAGAAAAAGCATGTGCATGTCAAGGGCTGTGGTCACGGGCTACAGAAGCCCCGGAAGCACAAGCGAGAGCCACCAGGCACTCACTGAACGGAGGCCTGACCCCTCCCACAGAGGTTCTTTTATGGCAAGTGGGGAGGGTGCCCACACCTGCAGAGATCAGTTGCAGCCAACTGCTTACACCTGGGCACAAGACAAGGGCCTAAGCTTGGGAGTTACAGTCTTGCAGCTATCCACCTGCCAGGTGTGAGCTGTGGGACAGTTAAACCTCAGAATCCTCATGTGTAAGACAGCAGCATACGGGTCTCAGCAGGAGGAAGACATGGATAATGTTTATAAACTGCCCAGCACGAGCTCGGTGCCCAGAAAAGGAGAAGTTCTTATTATAAAGGGCAAAGAGTGAGGGTGGGCGGATAAGTAAGTAAACGCAGGGGAGACCACTTTAATGGACTGGGTCATCTAGTCCTACGTAGTCCCTGGACTCTAGTGCTGAGCTTTAGGAACCAAGGAGCTGTTATCAGGCCCGATGACCACCGAAGGAAAACAAACCCACTGTTGAAAACCCTTCTCCCCGGAGACGACTGACTGTGGGTCTCTCTGAGAGGTGTGTGCTGAAGGAGAGAAAGCCCTGGGTGACGTCCCCATTTTTCATAGAAGGGGGACCCTTTTAAGGCTATGGTTTTAATTGTTGGCAAAAACATCTCATAGTGTAAAATTCAGATATGAGATAGTGCTACGGACTGAATTTTGTCCCCCAAATAGGCAATGGGATCCAAGTGCCCAGTACCTGTGGCTCTGATTCTGTTGGGGAATAGGGTTTCCTTATCAGACCTAAACCCAATCAATCTGGAGTTATAAAAGGATCAGATGAGACACCAAGTCAAGTACAAATGAGGGGAGGACAAAGGTCACAGGACGATTTCCAAGGAACTGAGGAACAGAAATGGCAAGAAACAGGGATCTTCCCCCAGAATGAACCGAGAGTCTTCCCCTGCAGCTGGAGCCTGGATTTCAGACTTCTAGCCTCCTGAACTGCGACAACATTTCCTACTCTCTCAAAGCACCCATTTGTGGTGTTACAACAGCGCTTGCTAACTAGACAGACACGAAGTCTAGTGACAGCCCCCTTAGAATTCATAGACTAGGAGGGGCTCGTGGCCACCAGGAAAGTCTCCAGGACTAGACTTCATTCCTTACTTCATCCTTCAGTATTCACTGAGCACCTGAAAGCACGGACCTGGAGAAGTCCCCATGCTAGTGACAGTGGAGAAGGCGCTGTGACAGACAAGTGGTTGGCAGCAGGCTCAGTCTGGACAGGGGGATAAGGGGAGGCCCTTCCTGTGGGTGTCTGGTGAGGACTAGGCTATCAGCACCTGGGGAGACCTGGGAAGTGGGGGTTCTGAGAGGCTCAGTCTAGCTTAGCTCACACACTCAGGTGACCTGCCGGGCAGGACCACAGTTAAGACATACACCTGGACACGGTGAAGGGTCAGGGTCAAGTGCTCTGGAAATGCTGGTTGGAGTGGAGAGGGCCAACCAGGGAAGTGCTGCTAACCAGGAAGGTCCTGAGAGGTCCAGCTGGCCACTGTAATCTGGAAATGAGTGAGAGCTCATGGGACCCCAGATTAATTTCCATCACTGGTAAAATGAGTCTGCACGTATTTTAAAATGTACATGGTGAGTTCTCCCGAACTGTCTAAGAATAGTCCATATTTAGCTAAATCAAGAAATTAGGAAAAGAGGGAGGGCTGGCAATGTTAGTTTATGAGCAAATATAGCCTTTTACACCTTAGAGCTTTTACAGAAATAGTCCCTTTACATTGCGGAAAATTGGAGAGATAAGGAAAAATAAAAGCATAAATTTCCTTAAACTGGTCTATTTCACAACCTGAGAGGATACCATGAAAAAACAAAAATTGTAGTTCCATCTCACACGAATATAGGTATGTAATACTAAATTGGACATGTGCCACCAAATCTAGCAGTGTGTGAAAATGTTACAATTAAATAGACTTTATAGAAAATGTTCAACGATGGCTCAACAACAGAAAATCAAGCAGTGTAATTCACCATATTAAAACAAGGGGGAACTTCTATGAAGGAGCTCTGGTAGTGTAGTGATTACGAATTGGGCTGCTAACCTCAACATCAGCAGTTTGAAACTACCAGCTTTTCCGTAGGAGAAAGATGAGGCTTTCTGCTCTCATACAGATTTACAGCCTCAGAAACCCTGGGCAGGGTCACTATGAGTCGGAACTGATGCCACAGCACACCACCACCACCACCATATGAAAATCTAAGTGGATGAAAAAAACGGATACAGTCTAATTCTGATTTGTGATTTGAAACAACAAGACTCTATGCAAAACAAGGCGACAAAGACCTCTTTTAACTGCTGCTGTCAGGTTGGCGCAGATTTGCCACAACAACTTTCTGAACGAAAGAATGAAACTTTGCCTGACACACTGCTGTCGCCATGCTCACTGGCATGTTTGGGGCTAGTGTGTCAATCATCCTCTTGGAGGGTTTCCCTGGTTTCTGCTGGTCCTATATAGTGTGGCGCTGTGGGTTAATGTGCTGGACTGCAAGGTCAGTTTGAACTACACGGCCGGTGGTTCAAACTCACCAGCCGCTCCTCAGAAACCCTATAAAGGGTCGCTGTGGGTCGGAGCTGACTCAATGACACTTAACAATAACAACAATATTTTATCAAACATGACGTCATTTTTCAGTGACTGCCCTTTTCTGATACTGTGCCCAAAACGAATGAAAAGAGATGCATTTCCGTTCGATTTCTTGTAAGACAGGTTTGTTCCTTCTTCTGGAAGTCCAGGGTATATTCAATATCCTTTGACACCACCACAGTCTGAATACACCAATTCTTCTTCGGTCTTCCTTTTTTACTGTTCAGCTTTCATACGCATCTGAGGCCACTGGAAAGACCATGACTCGTGTCAGGTACACCTCAGTCACCCAAGTGACTTCTCTGCTTTTTAAGATTTTAAAGCGGTCTTTGGCAGCAGATGTGCCCAATGCAATCTATAATTTAATGTCTTGACTGCGGCTCCTTTGGATGTTTCCTATTGATCCAAGTAAATGAAATCCTTGACAACTTCAATTTCTTGATCATTTGCCATGATCTTGTTTAACAGCCCAGCTGTGAGGATTTTTGTTTAGCAGTGCAACTAAAATGAACAAAATAAATGAACACTTAAAAGAACCAAACAGAAGATTTCAAAAGGTGGTTGAGAAGACTATGTAAAGTATTACAATGAAATGTGCAAAGACCCAAAGTTAGAAAATCACTAGGGAAGAACATAATCAGCATTTTATAAACTTAAAGAATTGAAGGGATAATTCAAGCCTGAAGTTGTAATATTGAAGATTACGCGGGCAAAAAATTCAATGATGCAGGAATCATCTAACGAAGATGGAAGGAATACACACAGTTACTGCATCAAGAAGAACTGGTCACTGTTCATTCATTTTAGGAAGTAGCGTATGAACAAGAACCAATGATACTGAAGGGAGAAAGAAGTCCAAGGTGTACTGAAGGCATTGGTAAAACTAAGCTTCCAACAAGTGACAGAATACCAGTTGAGATGTCTCAACAAACAGATGTGATGCAGATACAAGTTATCTATGTCAAGAAATCTGCAAGAGATCCATATTCATGCCCATTTCAAAAGCGATGTGCAAATCATTGAACAAGGTAATTTATATCACACATAAGCAAAGTTTTGCTGAAGATAATTTTTAAATGGTTGCAACCATACATCAACAGGGAACCGACAGAAATCCAAGCCAGTTGTTTTTCGATTGTAACACTATAGATACAACAAAACCCTCGCCGTCTCTACATGCACAATTCAGCTGCACCAATTATACCTTCCCGATGTTGCACAACCATCACCATTATCCATTTCCAAATCTCTCTCTCGCCTTCAAGCCACATTTAGGAGCTAATATGGAACAAGGTATGTCATTGCTGATGAAAGATGGATCTTGGTTGAAAGTAGAGAAGACTTTTAAGC